GGGGGTGAGGCGCGCCCGTGCCGCCGCGCAGGAGGAGGCACCGGCTCCCGCGCGCGAGGGGCGCAAGTAACATAAGCGCAGCACTACAACCGAGACAGCAACAACAACAACAGCAGCAGCAGCATCAACAGAGGTAGAAGGAGTGACATGCACAGCACCAAGACATAATCACCATGGAGGAAACCAAATGGACGAATGAGTGGAGCTCACAGAAGGTGTAAAGGACGCATGTTTGCGACCCGGCGATGCGTGGAACTCCTCCGCCGCATGAATGCAGGCTGCAGGAATACCATTGGAGTCACACCGACCACCGTACACGAGTCTGGATGGGCGCTCAAAGCAGCAACGCAGACCGTTTTCACGTGCACATGTCGACAACAAGCTCAGTGGGCGCAAGACGCCAGCAGCATGAGAGCTGCATTACCGCCAATGAGAGGCGTGCGGTGTGAAGCGTATTGCATATGCTCCAGAAGCCCACACTGTCCGTGCAGTGAGGGGAGTGTCAACTTCTGCCCTCAGACACACCAGAGCAACATACTCCATCATTGGGCTTCTTCTCCACTGACAATATTCCCATCCACTGCGATACGCATCCAAAGTGGCTGCGGCAGACGCTCCCCTGCCCTCAGCAGACGCCTGACGTGGAGATTGTGCCGGTGTAGGACAATGTTCAGCACCTCAGAGCAGCCACACTGCGCGTCTGCATACTGCTGTATCGTCTGCCTTCAGTTCTCTCCGCGCGTCGCAGAGAGCCGCGGTACCACAGCGGTGAGACGAACAACGTGCACCCTGCCACTGTACGTAGATGCCCATTGCTATTTCTTTCTGCCGCCACTGACGTCACTGCTGCAAGAAGAGAGGAGGACAGGAAGAAGCGAGATGAGAGGCGAAGAATGAAGTCCACGGAGACACACACAACGAGACATATATATATATATATATATATATATGAACGAGAAGGTTGTGTATGTGTGGAAAACCGCGTGATTGAGAACCATATTAAAATGCGGCGCTGCCTGCTGTTGGTTGCTGATGCTGGTGTGTGTGTGTGCACTCACAGCCGCTCCTCTACGGTTAATGAGCGTGGGGCAAGGATGATAACAAACAAGGATACGTACTCACAATACGGTTAAGCATGCGCTTGTAGAGCGGCTCAACCAACACATTTGAATACATCTCCTGCCCAATATAGGTTGAGAAGAATGTTATATTGGAGTGTACATTGGTGCGCTTGGTGTCTGTCTTCTCTGCTTCTCCCTCAATCTCCGTTTTTGATTTTTCGTTTTGCGGCCACCGTCTTCACATTTCCTTAATTACCTCTCCGTTTTCCCTCACTCTTTCACGGCGCTACTCTGTGGCCCGTGTTGGAACGGCCACGCAGCAGCTGCCGTTTTTTTTTTCAAAAAACAAAAAAAACACTCCCCCCTTTTTTATTTCCTCCCGCTGCTCCATTTGTCTTTTTTTTTGTTTGGTTTTTGTCTTTGTTACCGACACGATGAATCTCTGCAACGCTCTCACACACACACACACATACAGACAGCACGAGAAGGAGGAGTAGTGGAGAGGGTGAGGGCCCAAACATATAAATAAATACATACACTGCAGCACACGCACTCGTTCAGAGGCATATATATATATGCGCGGAAATATTAAAAAAATGTCTGCAGGTGGGCGAACTATACCATTGGTTTAACGAAATGACTGTTGGTTTACGCTTCCTCTTCATCAGCAGGCTCTTCCTGCGGCTTCTTCTTGTTGGCTTATTGCTTGGGCGGCTCTGCTCCCTCCTTTGCGGCTGGGTACCCTTTTGTCTCCGAGTGTGCGCCGATCGCGACCAGGCTTGTGTTGACGAGCTCCGCCACGTTGCTCTCCGGGCCGAAGTGCGGCTCGTGGCCGGGCTGCACGACCATCAGCGACGCGTCCGACGGGAGGTAGCAGGTGCCGGGCTGCTGGTACACCACCTCCTGCTGCTGATGCGCGATAGCAAAGCTATCCGGGCGGATGGTCGGCGTCTCGAGCGACGTGGCGAGGCGCTCCCGTCGGGAGCCGAGCAGCCTGTCGAGCGGCATGCCGACAATCTCGCTGCTGGAGCGCGACTGCACCAAGTCCATGCGGCGCCGCACAGTGCTAATCTCATTGCTCGAGAGGAGCGTACCGCCACCAGCGCCTGCGCCGCCCAGCGGGATGGCGGCCACGTCGTCGCTCGAGCGTGAGCGCTGCTCCTGCAGCACCTCCTGCCAGACCTTCGCCAGCTGCACCTTCGGGATGAGGCAGCTGAGCGAGTCGTCGAAGCCGGAGAGCGGCTTGAACTTGAAGCGGCGCGTGTCCTCCTTGGCGGTGTAGTACGCCCGCACGCTGGCGGCCCAGTTCGCGTCCACGAACTCCGTCGCGCGCCGGATGCCGTGCGAGGCGAAGCACGCGTCCTGCAGCACCGCCTTGACGCTCAGCACCGCCTTGAACCCGGAGAACGCCGCGATGGCGGTGGGGCCGTACGCCGGCGGCGTCGGGATGAACAGAATGTCCGGCGACGGGTCGTCGGTGAGGAACGCGAAGAAGGGGCGCTTGGCGACGGTGTTGCACTCGAACGTGTGCACGTCGTGCAGGCGGATCCACCGCGGGATGGTGCCGTTGTCGCGCATCACGAGCACCATGTCGTGCGTGATGCAGAGATACGCGCCGGGGAGCGACACCTCCGCGTCGCCGGTGTGGCCCCGCCCCACCAAGTCGCCGCGCATGAAGGTGTAGAACACCGTCTTCTCGAGCAGCATGAAGGTGTGCCAGAGGTGCATCGGGATGTGCGCGAAGGGGATGCCGTTGCGCGGGTCGTACGGCGGCAGGCCGCGGTACGGGCGCACGTCGAGCCGGTCGTA